TCAATCTGTTATAATATTTTAAAATGAAGACCCGTGTTTTCTGTCAAGACCACCTTAAACCCCACAGATATTGTCTTTTGACTAGCAGGTGGTTGTCTATGCTCATGAAAGATCTCACAAATTTGATATTCCAGCTGAGGGTTGGGATTTGTTGGTGTTTTTCGTAAGCCTTTTTCCTGTACAAGCTATGCTGCACTGCAGGAAAGGACAGTGAATGTCAGAGACCACCGAGGAGTGGGCAGAACTCAACTATAAAAACCAGATTTGCAGGACACAGAGGATATTGTAACCTGTTAAGTGTTACCAGTTTGTGTTCTCCAGAGCAGCAGCTTTGTGCTAGCTGACTGAACCTCCTATGCTGGAGGAGCCCACCATGCAGGAAGAAAATGGAGAATGGAGAAAGTTCTTCCCCACACTGCTAGGGTGCAGGGGATCGGTTCCTTCTACTTAGGCGTAACTCTTCAGAGAAGGTTATGCTGTGATGTTACGTGCTGACTCTGAAATATCATCTGTTTGTCTTAAATGTGGTTTATGGTGATTTTTCTCTACAGTCTGACCTCACAATGGAAAAAATATCTGCACTAGAAAACAGTAAGAACTCTGACTTGGAGAAGAAGGAGGGGAGGATAGATGACTTACTAAGAGTAAGTATTTAAAGTGGGACAACTCTTCTAAAAGCTGCTATTTAAAGACACCGAGAATGCATGTGCCAGCTAGGTTGCAGAGCAGGATTTTGTATACCATTTGTAGAACCAGAGCTTGCAAGGTAGAACAAATCCAGTCATCCCTTACTTGCCAGACAATTATCTTACTTGTCGATACTCTGTTTGGGCCTGCTTGAATCCACAAGTGGTGTAACAGTGACTGTGGCTATGTGCTTGCAGAGTTATTGTAGCTAAGTGCTGGCTCAGATGTTTGTGTCCTCAGTAGTGTTGTTGGCCTTTCTTTGATCTGTTGCATGCTTTTTGTGGATTTTGCTAGCTAATCTAACATGTTTCTCTTCAGAATTATTCCCCTCTCCTAAATACCCAGGGGCTGACTCTGCTTTTTATTTAGTAAAATGTTCAGTAGCCTCTCGGTAGACTGTGAGGCTGCATTCTGAAATGTTCATTTGTGAGGCAGTGACATGTATAGAGGTGAGGAGAACATCTTTTGGTCAAACTTAAAGAATAACGCTTCTCTTAACCCATTAGTATTCTTCGGTGAGAGATAAATACCTTTAAATCAAGGATCTTGGCTTAATGGAGGAGTTCTGATTGATTTAGCTTTCATCAGCTGGAGAGGTGTGAAGTGTTCAAAAGGGTCAGAAAACACATTAAAGAGAGGAGAGGGGAGGCTCTCTGTGTTTGAACGTGTCTGATCTCAGCACCCAAAAGAGCTTTGTTTGTGGAAAACAATCCATGAAGCAGGAGAGAGACCTCTTTTTTTCTTTTTTTTTTTTTTTTTTTAACCATCCACTGTTTTATCAGAAGCCAGACTATTGGTTGGGAGGGAGATGGTTAAATTTAGCCTTTTTTGCACATAAAATCCTGCTGTAGGCTGTAGTGGTGTTAAAAACAGCAGCTGTTACTGGGAACAGTCTCTGTAGTGGGGCTGATGGATAGTAATTCGAACAAGAATTTAATTGAAAGTGCAAAGGGAGTTACCCCATCCTTTTCCTCTGCCAGTATTGTGGCTAAAGAGGGAGGATAGTCTGTAGATGACTAAGCTGTTTTGAGACTTGATAGCTGTGACAAGGTCTTAAATGTTTAAAAAACCCCAAATTTCTCGTGCTTGTGTTTAGTCTCTTTGTACCTTAGTTCCTATATGTAACCCAGGATCATAGCACTTCCCTATTCTGGAGGAGTATTAAGATTTGAGTTGGTTAAAAATTGAGGAGCTTGGCTGTGATGTTTTGCTAAGAGGAACCTAGTCTTTTTTCTTATCCTCCTGGTTTGCCTTCTTTAATCTGATGCCTAGAGCTAGCTGGAAAAATGTCTTCCCAGGCGATCTTAGTTTGGCTGTTTTGGAGTGATTTTAAAGTCAGAGGCTTTTCTCTGTTTGCTTTTAGGCCAACTGCGATTTGAGACGGCAGATAGATGAACAGCAAAAGATGCTGGAGAAGTACAAGGAGCGGTTGAATAGATGTGTAACGATGAGCAAGAAGCTTCTTATAGAAAAGGTGAGCAGGGGACTTTCCACATCTCTACAGTCACTGTCTATGTCCTTGAAAACTTCTCTTGTCGTCTTTTGAGCAGTGAAAACCTGCTGCTATTGCCATAGTGACAAAAGACAGCTGGAATTCTGCCTTGAATTATTTCTCTGCGAATAGGAATGTAATGCTAAGACTGAAATGGTTCACAATGTTTTGGTTTGGTTACTTTTCACAGTCTCAAAGAATGATCTCCCTTGCTTAAGTGAAATAGTCTGAGCTCTAAATGCAACAGGCATTACTTGATTTGGAAACTCATACACCTGAAAAGCAACATTGTCTAGCTCTGGCAATGCCAGAGCAGTATCCCATTGTGTGGTCAAATTGCCAGATATGCTCTGTGACACTGGGCAGGTGATTTAGACCTTTCCTTCTTTCAGACAGCAAAGTTGGAGATCGTTGCTTTGTGTAACACTCAAAACAACACATTAAAGGCACTGGGGAAAGTGCCAGGCTGCTGTTTACCAGTGTCCAGCATGCTTCAGCGTTGAAAGATTTCCAGATTTCCTGATGATTAAACAGTGTGATTACTCTTTCACCTGTTGGCCAATTACATGTATTGTTTGTGGGTACTGGATGGGCAAAACTACCAGGGTGCTGACCAGTACGTGCAGTCTGTGTGAGTAGAGTTTGTCACAGAGCTGATTGTTCTTGGCTGAATGGGACTCCCCTTGCTGGGAGGATTTGTAACTCCTGGGCTAGGTGTTACGTAGACCTGGCATTAGGGTAGGTGGTGTGTAGCTCCAGTGAGGAGCTTTGCTGGTTTGTCTTTAATCCTGACTGACTGAAACTTTGCTGCTCTCATCCCAGGCCTTGGAAATTTCCTCTCACTTAGCACAAACACTCTCTGACAGACACCACCACCAGTTTTTAGGCGTGTTGGTGACCTAATTGAGATTGTGTCACTTCTGGGAGTGGTGCGAGTCTAAGACTGGGCCGGCTGATCACTGTATGTTAGTCTTAACACTGATTCAAGGTGTATTTTCTTCCTTCATCTCTTGTTTGAATGAAAAAGGACCTGATCGGAGCTACATCTGGAGTCTAGCTAAGGTACTGATACAAAGAGATAGTTTTAATCCTACTGCTAGACTGATTTCAGCTGATGACAGAATGGGTGAGCTGCCCAAGCAGTAATGGGGAAGGAAAGGTGAGGCTGAAATGTCGGAAAGGAGGCAGTCAAACAAGTGCTGGTCAGACCAGTGTCAAGCATCAGCAATAATTTGATCAGTGATTTTCAGCTGGGTTTCAGATAAGCAGCACTGAAACAATGGAAAACTGTAAGAATTGGTAGTGATTTAAACCACAGCACAGCTCTTAGCTGCTAATTGATGGCATATTTTTTAATATTTTTTTTGTTTTCAGTCAAAACAGGAGAAGATGGCATGCAGAGATAAGAGCATGCAGGATCGATTGAGGCTAGGTCACTTCACTACAGTGCGGCATGGGGCGTCTTTCACCGAGCAGTGGACAGATGGCTATGCCTTCCAGAACCTCATCAAGTGAGTACAAGCAGAGCTGTCTTTACTTTCAGAGGCAAAGACAAAAACTAAGCAGTTGTGTGCAATGTCTTGCGTGTCAAACTGTGAGAATGGTGTGACTGATCCATGAAGGGATCAGATAGAAACTCAGCTGCTGACAATGGGGAACGTTTTCACGTTGAAGTGAGAAATATGTTTCCACTTAAACCTCCAGAGACTAGAAACTGGAATCGAATTGTTTAAGCTAGCCTCTGGGTTGGAAAGCAGTAGGCTGCCCTGCTGGGTTTTCTCTGTGCACCCACCTGGCTGTGCAGTGCTTAGGTGAAGAGGTGGACTGAATTCCCACGTGTATCTTGAGTCAATCAATTTGATTTGCGCATCTGCATATGTTAGTCAAGGAAGGCTAATTAGCTCCCCCCTTTTTTTTAAGTAGAAAGTAGAGAAGCTAAAAAGAGAAAATCCATACTATTTAACTTTTTTTTGCCTCATAGTAACAGTGATCAAAGGGGCTGCAGAAACCTGGAAATGAGGATCAGAGACTCTTTTATGCAGGATGTTAATGAAAATATCCAGTAAATTCCCACCTGGCCTAGACCTTTAAGTAGGACTTGGCAAATTAATTGCATTAGAGAGAGCCATGTGTGATCCTTTAAAATCACATCACTTCTCTGTAGCCTGATAGGGAGGTGCAGCTCTTGTTAGGCACAGATTAAGGACTTCATGATTCCTCCTTAGTGTGTGCTGTCAGACATGGAAGAAATACTTCTGGAATATTTACCTGCAGTCTCAGTCTCTTTCAAAAAGTGAATTAAGTCTGTAAATGTTCAAGTCATTTAGACTTGAAATTTCAAGAGTGCTATTATCACTGTAAAATGTTTTAAGATAGTCTGTTTATGTTGGAGAGGAGACTGTTTTCTTAGTGAAATTGGGAATGGTGTTGGTTAGATCTCAGAGAACGAAGGATAATTTGACTGTACCCTTGAAGCAGAAGATACTTTCTCAGACAGTGCCAGACTTCAGGAATAGTTTAAACAGGAAAGTGAGATTTAGAACAGAGCATTCTAGGAAAAAGTGTGTGGAAAGTAAGTGACTTCCCACAGACCCCTGGGTTTTCCGTGAGGTTAGCAGCTCCTTCTTTTTGGATATCCTCTGCATGAATAAAACCTTTCACTTACTGAAAGGTTTCTGTGGGCCAGGAAAAGAATTCCCTTTTATGTAAAAACACCTTTAAAAAAAAATCTGAGTCATAATGTTTGGCACATCCCCTTTTTCTATACAAAAATATTTTGTTACTAATCTTACAAGTACAACTGATTTGAAATTCATTGCTCCAATCTGTTAAGAGCAGATGCTGACAACTACAGAGTACATACCACGAGTTATCTGCTTCATGGTTTTTCTACTGCCTTCTTTCCAGGCAACAGGAAAGGATAAATTCCCAGCGGGAAGAAATAGAAAGACAACGAAAAATGTTAGCAAAACGGAAGCCACCTGCGATGGGACAGACCCCTCCAGCAAGCAATGAGCAGAAGCAGCGCAAGAACAAGACCAATGGAGCAGAAAATGAAACGTAGGTTACGTGGCTTTCTTAGTGCATTGCAAAGCTGCGTGCTTTGATTAGAGCACGAAGTATCTACTGGGAAATGGAATCTTGCCCTTGCCTCTAGGCTTCACTCCATGCCCAAATGAATATTGTGGAATTAGCCTGGCGTTCAGTAACATCTGGCTGCAGTTCTAAATAGTTTTCATTGGAGTAAAACAAGGATCATTGCAGGGTCCAGACTTTGTATGAGCTTAACTTTTTTGAATTGCAATAACTTTTTCAGTATTCCTGTTGCGTGAAATTTGAAAAGTGGTGTCTTTTTCTGAAGTGTTGCAACTTCAGAATTGATTTTGGTATCACGTTGTGATATGTGGTGCTTTTTTTTAAGGGAAAAAAAATGTACACATTTAGAAGCCTTTATTTCCATGTGCTTTCTGGTGAGGCTTTTCAAACAATTCATGCGGTATACTGAAGAAAAAAGATGCTCTCTGTAAAGACAGTGCATTAAGCATTGACCTGTATCCACAAAGCAGGCCTTTGCAGATACCGGAGTCAGGGAAATGGAGAGGTAGTTGAAGTGCTACTGTTTGTTCTTACAGAAGATTTTTTTTTTTTCTTCCCCTCCTACCTCTTTTGAAGTTACTGATGCTCTTAAGAGTCCCAGTGTTCTTGGAGAGGAAAGCTGTGTCTCACGAGAAATTTAGAATAATGTTTTTTTGGAAGTTTTTGTGAGTTGGAAATACATTAAGTCAGAGACTTTTCCCTACCTTCTACCAGTTGCCTTTACAGTCTTCGTTTTATTGCTGTTGGCTAATACCTTAACTCTCAGTGACACTTTTCTTTTTGCACTGTTAAATCTCCTGGGCGTGATTTGACCTCAGAGTTCCTGGAGCCCTTTGAAGTCTTGGTCTTGATCTTTAAAAGTGCATGTGAAGCAAAAGCTCGCACTGCCTTTTGCAGTCACAGCAGAGGTGGCACATGACTGGGTGAATCGTGACATTCAGGGTGCTCTCAGCAACCAGGGCGGTGGCCCCAGATAGGATGCTGGTGCCTGCAGATCAGGTGTGTTGTATTGGAGGGCACTGTGTGCTTTCTGCAAATAGGTAGCTTGAATAGAGACATTTATCCCTCATTCTGGCCAAGTGAGCTGAAAAAGAACTAAATAAAGTTTTAAAACCATCCTGTATTGCGGATTTGAGTTTGGAGAAGTAAATTGAAAGTGCATAGATATTTTGAAGCGTTGCTGTTCATTGTGGTAACCTTTCACTTCTGAGGGATGGGAGGATGATTTCCCCATTTCTGTAGGGAGGTTTTTCCCCAGCAGACCGGTGCAGCTGTGGTGTGGCTTATTCTGCAGACATGGCAGCACAGGGCTTGATGTGCCTGGAAATCACGATAATGTTTGCGATACCCAGTGAGCTTCTGCCTATGTTATGAGCCTGCCTTGACATAATCTAGCTCTACCTGGGTTTGCTGGTGAGCCTTTTCGTGCTACCAGGTCTTTTCCTCTGTGTTTCTTGCTGGTTTATCATTCTTTGCTGATACATTTCAGGGTTTTATCTTTGTGGTTTAGAAGAGCTGCTTGTGGCATTCTTGATGAAAACTGCTTGCCAGTGTATGGATGTGGTTCGTGTGGCGTGTTTTAGCTTATGAAAACATTGTTTTTGCAAGTCAGCTGAGGGAACTATACTGACTGACTACTTGTTTAATCATCAGTTACCCTGTAAATGTATTTGTTGGACCAATGTGCATCAGGTACAAAATTTACTGATAATTGGAAGGGTTGTTTGTTTTTTCTTCTGGACTTCTTACAGGGACTGCCTTTTAGGCAAGTTGAATAGAAAAGTTTCTGAAAGTTGAATGTGAAGTAGACACCAGATTCCCTCATCTGAGTTTTTGGTTGCTCTTTGGTTCATGGTTGTTGCTGTGTCTTAAAAAGGAGAGGAAGGTCCATGGTGCAAATGTAAACCCATGCTCTCCTGAAACTAGTTTGTAGCCTGTGAATGAAAACAAGATTTTCATTCAGGAAGATTAATCTGCTGGGGCTTTTTGAGGTTTGTTAGAGCAACTTGGGCAACCTTAGTCTCCAGCTGCACTAGAAGTAGTGTATTTCGAGCATGTTTCTGTGAAACAGGGCAGTGTTTGTCTTAGAGCCCCCTTGATTTTTGTAAGACTTGCTGCTAACAGGCAGCTATTTTGGGCAGTGTTAGCCTGGTGGTACTCATTACATCTCTTGCTTAATGAGTAGACTTGGTGTTTAGCCCTGTATCTCATTTCTGCACAAGAATATGTGGAAAGCTTGTTGCTGGTTTATTCAGTTGTCTTTTTATTCCTTATACAGCAGTAACAACCACAGACCTAAACTTTTGGGACGATCTTTTGGATTAGCTGAATCTGATTAAAATTCAGGCTGTGGAGGGGAGGGTGGGGTGTGTGTGAATTAGCATGCTTTTGTGTGAAAGGAGACAACGTGTAAACATTTATGGTACCAACTACTTTTTATATGTATCTGTAATTTGTATTAAGGAGTTCCTTATGGTCAAGATTCTTTCAAAGAGAACTTGGCTTGCGAGTTCTGCAGTAAATTTATCAGCTAACAACTGCTTTAGCACTTATTTCAACTATGCAGACCCTCTGCGTTATCAACATTGGAGAGAAGTTGGAGCATGTCAAGATGAGCACTTAATCAGCTGAACAGTACCTCGTCTCCATTACTGTACAGCGAGCCAAGGTCCCACGGCCCTGCTCAGATGTAGGACTTGGTCCCTACTTGAAACTAGTTGTGGTATTGATGCTGTGGAGACCTCACAGACTGACCTTTGTACTAAGTACTATGCAGAGCATAACCGCTTCGACACGAATCCTGGGATATGCTTTGAACGCAAATTACATTCAAAAAAGATGTTTATGTGCTGTCACATGTGTGTTTTGCTTACAAAGTAAACAGATGCAGTTGATATGGGCTTCATAACTTTATGTTCACGTGCGTGATGCTTTTACCAAACTCCTCGTTGGTAGTAGTGAGGAAATTAATATAACAATTCATTTTTCTTACCTTAAAGATCTCAGCACATCATTGCATTTCGCTAGTGATGGGATCTGTTATTATTCTAGTATAAGGCTGTGCTTTGCCTTTGTTCTACATGGCCACTTTGGCTATAAAAGACATCGAAAACTAAGTGAAGTTTTTTTTGACCAGCCACCTAGTGTGGACACTTTGCACATTATTTACCATCAACATAATGGGGATTATTCCCCTTCTCCCATTGCTTCTCCTAACTAGACATCGGGTCAAAGAGATGGTAAGGTGAAACGAATTTCTCAAGGTTTCCCTGGATGCCACTTCGCAGAGCCTGAAACAGGAAAAAGTTCTGAATCGCAGGTCATTGCTCTGTTTGCAGCGGCTCTGAGGCCAGGTTTACTGGTAGTCCCAGAGTGAATAGCTGGGTTGAATTATCCAGCTTCTTTTACAAAGAAAAACTTGAAAATGAGTCAGTAAAGCAAACTTTGAATGGAAAAATAAGATATAGAATACTTGTGCTTCAGTGTTCCATGTTTAGATTGTGGTTTAGCGTTCCTTGTTAAAAGTCAATCGCAAGCCTAAATAGGTGTTATGAGGGACTTGCATTTGAATTTAACATATGCTTTATCAAGGTTTCAGCTTTTGGTCTCCTTTGGATTGATTTTTAAAAAAAAAAAAAAAAAAAAAGATTGCAGAGTTTACCTAAAAACTTTCCTGCTGGCTGTTGACATACTCTGCGGAGTTGTTGCTTCCGCTGGCGCGGTGCATTCTGCAGACGGTTCACTTCACCACGTGCACTGACGCTAATGCATTGCGTCTGTCTCTTCTATGCAGGTTAACGTTAGCAGAATACCACGAACAGGAAGAAATTTTCAAACTCCGGCTAGGTCATCTTAAAAAGGTAAGAACTAACTACAGAAAAGGCTATGTAGGTAGGCTTTTGCTTCAGTGTTCTATGAACAATAGCATTTCTCTGTAGAGGTCGTAACTATTTGTTTGATAACTGGGAGGGTTTTGTTGCTTGAAAGGGATGGCCAGGATTTTGTAGTAACTTTTTCCAAGGCGGTGGTATTAAGGAAAGATGTTCTTGGCTTCAGTAAATAGATTTCTGTGTCCTTACAGTTACAACTTCATGCAGGGAGTTCCACTGTTTTGATGCATCTTACTCTGTCACTATGACCTGCCTAGTGCTGGGCTCTGTATGTGTCTAACATGGGGGAACATGAAGGAACGGACCAAGGGAAGAAAATTACAAGAGCACGATAAAAACTGCAACCATCATTGACTTTCCCATTTCTTTGCAATGTGAAGTAACCATCAGTATCAGTCCAACAAAATCTCTTGGGCTTTTGGAAACTAGTACGGTTTAGATAGTTGTAATGCACATTTGGTTTCAAATACATTGCCTTCAATAGGAACTGTACCTGCAAGTGAGGTTATAATTAGGTAAGCTGTTTGTTACCTTGAAAGTGATTGCAATAACCTATAAATAGCTTTTCTGGGACACTTGAACAGATGAAGTACTGAAAAAAATAGATGTCTTCTACCATTTCCTGGTTAGCTGTGACCTCTGCTAAGGCCAAAGCGTTTTCTTTCCTGTGTGAAAAGAAGAGGAAGCGTGCAAATGTATTGCTGGAGTCCCCCTTCTTTTCTCAGCTGGTGCCTGAGCTCTGCACTAAGTTTGTCTTGTAACCTTGACACACCAGTTGAATGCAAGGCCTCATTAATGCTAAGGTACTCCTTGTTATTTTCAGTGGCAAGGGAAAGTTAATGCACACATGGAATCCACTGGCACTCTGCCCGTTGTGTTTTATTGACCCGTGAGCAAAGATAAGTGATATGGGCGGGAGTATGCTGAAGGCATGCTTGCTCTACAGCTTCCGCATTGCTAGAGCGGATTACTTGCAGAACCATCTATGCTGGCATGTAGTGTGCCAGCCTGGAGCAGAGGAATCCATCTGGAAATGGACCTTAATGGAAAGTGAAGTAATGTTCTGGGATCGTGGCATTGTCTGAAACTGTGCTTATCCTTTTCCACTTTTGGAAACTGGCTCATTTTTTGTGCCTAAAAATAGAACAAGTTGAGAAGGGAAGGAGCAGAGTCACGAGACAAATGGGTAACTATGTCCCTTGAGTCATATATACCAAATAATGCTGCTCAAGGCACACATGTTAATTGAGGTTTGCAGTCCTGTCCACAGTGATGTGAATTCTAATGTCGTGTTTGAGGGCACGAGAACTTCCAGCTCTCTGAACAGTACATCGAAACTTCCACGTGACACGAAGTTACACTCTGACCTGTTCTACCGCTTACTGCTGATAGGAACGCACATTGACCTTTCACATTCTCCATCCTCTCCAGATCCTGCCCCATCCCCATGTGGCATTGTGACATCCCTGTTCCTCACTTCTGAGGGATGTCCCCTCTCTCTTGTCTCAGCAGAGGCTGAGTTCCTACCAAAACAGCTGCATAGCACTTAGGGAAGGAGCAGGACCAGAGCTACAACTCTTATTAATTACAGAAAATGTTAAAAACAGGAAGGTGTAAAGACATGTCTGCTCCTCTCTATGTGTAGGTGTAAACAGAACTGCCCAGTCAGTTTTCATTCCTGTCACCTTCCACCTGACTCTTAGATGACTATGACCTTCTCTCTAATCTCCCAAAGAAGTTATTTGCCAATAACTTTTTCACAAGTGTAATTACATTGGTGTTTCTGTAAATCAGGCGGCAATGCTAACTGCACTATCTTACACAGTGTTGTGTTTTCCTTTTGATTTTTCCCTGTGCAGGAAGAAGCAGAGATCCAGGCAGAGCTGGAACGGCTAGAGAGGGTTAGAAATCTACACATCAGGGAATTGAAAAGGATACACAATGAAGATAATTCACAGTAAGCACATGGGATTCAGGGACAAGAATATATAACATTTTTTTATTTGTTCCCTACATAATGGGAAGCACTTGATCTTTTCTGAATTGGTGTTACTACTTAATATATCACTTGATTGTGGGTGGCACGGTGATAGAACTTGAAGTTCATGTAAGACAAAGGCTACCAGGTGGATCGGGGTACCATTACATAGTCTTTCATCAGTGCAAAGCGATCAAATAGTATCAAATCTGTCAGTCATTAACACAGTTTTAATATTTTACTGTCTTAATATAAAAATGCTGTTTCTAAGCTGTGTAGTAGCTGTAATTTATTGTGCAGTAGATGGCATTATTTCTGCCAGTGTTCTTAAACTGCGTCTTTCTCGCCAGATTTAAAGACCATCCAACGCTAAATGATAGATATTTGTTGCTACATCTTCTGGGTAGAGGCGGCTTCAGTGAAGTATACAAGGTAAAAGGGAAGGGGCAGTCTGTGGGGTAATCAGAGTCTGCAATGACAGATTGCAATCAGCAGAATTTTTACACTTGTTTTCTTAATGATGTGTGTGGTTGTGGAGGGAAGAAGGGAAGAAAAAGCACATGTTGCATCTGGCTTGTGTTAGACAGAAGGCTTGAGATTTTTAGGTTCTGCCCTTGTCCTCAGAGGTCAGATTTCTTGCAAATATATGTTTCAAGAAAACATTGCGCTAAATTTGGAAGCTTTGTCAGGACAGAGAAGCAAACCATTTGTTTGTGCTACGCACAAATACCCTAAGTAGCAAAGTTTTATTGAGTATGGCATAGCAAGTCTGAACATCACTGTAAATAAGAGAAAATAGCTCAAATAATAAGAGCAAAGCCTTCATTTCCTGGGGGTAGAAGGTTTTTTTCTTCTGTCTTCATTTTACGCTTTGAAGTAGCAGACTGGGGGGTGGGGGTGTAATCTTGAGACTTCCTTGGAACTGCGATTACTTGTGTGTCAGCACTCTTGCATGGCCAAGACGTGTGATGCTTTGGTGCTTGCTACTTGACTAGCATGCTTAGAGCCTTTTCAGTTCTAAATATTCCCCATCTGTACCCTGTAGTTCTTATTCATGTTGCATGTGGCTAGAATGAAAGTAACTATGCCAGTGCAAATATTGGAAAATTCTTGTTGATTTGTTATTTTTATATAGTACAACAATAGGTATTTAACTAGGGGGACTGGACTGCTCAGGTAGCGAAAAAAGAATATGATCTGCATGTAAATACTGTGAATTGCTATTTGGAGGCTTTACTGACTAAGTAGAAAGCCTTGGCCCTGCAGATGAAAGCAGGAGGGTATGAATGCTTCATACCTGACTACGCTTAAGAGTTGTAACTAAGTTATTAAAACAAAGAAATGCTTAGCCCTTCTTCTCCAGGGTCTGTTAAGGGTTATAAGTTAAGTATACAACTTTTGAGATGGACACAGTTCATTCTTGTCTGCTTACAATACAATTTTGTGCCATCCTAAAAATTGTTAGCTGTTGCCACTCTCAGACAAGGTAAAGGTAAAAGATTTCTGCATTTCTCCAAGAGCACAACTGTAGACGTCTGTTCTTTAAAGACTGCCTAAACAGCAAGAAACTGGAGGGGAAAAAACACAGCATAAGATTTAAACAATTTGCTGTTGAATTCTCCAGCTTCTAAATAAGCTGAAATATTTTGGTCCAAGATGGAGAGTTGAGCTACCAGTGTGAAAAAAGTATTAAAAATCCTCTGTATGTTCCGGGGTTCTTTAACTGAATGTACAAAATTAGATAAGTGGCTTGGGGGAATAATGGCAGGGTCTTTCCCAATGTGATTGACTGACTATATTTCGGTAATTTGGCCTTTCTGATTCCATTGTAGCTCTGGTGGTAAAATGTCAGAATAAATGCAGTGTTAGTTAGATCCCATAGGGAAGGTCAGATCAAAGCACAGAATATTCAATTGTTTTCAGAGTTGCTTGGTTTCATTAGTGAAACTAATTACATCAAAATGTGGGTTTGCTCTTCACTCAGTATGTTGTAATGCTGATTTCCTGGGTGGGGATATTGGTTCGTTAGAGCTTGTCTACTTCTGCAGTGTTAACTAGAAGTTGTGATTCCTACTGATTTTCAGCTCTTCTCTCTGCAGGCATTTGATTTAACAGAACAGAGATATGTAGCTGTGAAAATACACCAGTTAAATAAAAACTGGAGAGATGAGAAGAAAGAAAACTATCACAAGTAAGTAAGGCTGTAAAGCAGCCGGCCATTTTCCCAGACTCCTGCTGTATTTGGTTATCCAGTGCCTGTGAACAGGCTACCATTTTTGTCGTGTGTTTTGCCACATTTCAAAAACCGCTCTCTGTCCCAGTAGCTACTTGCAAAAGCTATGGTCAGATTAGGAAAGTTTTAAACGTGCGCGCACGCACACACACAGAGTTTTGTATAAGCGCTGTGGCACAAGGTTTTAAAGCACCAGTAGCGCTCTACGAAGAAAGCGTTAAAGTGTCGTCTTCTCTCTAAAATGTCTGAGCTCTGCCCTTGTGGGAAGCAGTTGTTCGTGCCCATCTTCCAGGTACACATCTGCATTGTGCTCCCTGAAGGCCTTCCCCTTCCTTTCGTTTCCTAGAATGCTTAATCCTTTCACAGACGATTAGGACTATTTCATGGCCTAGAAGGGAGGTACAGGAAACCTTTTGGTGTTGGTAATGCTTGCTCCCTAGTGCCGTGGATTAGATAAGCTCTGCAGGATGGCAGCCAAGCCTTCTCCACAGAGCTTCAAAGATAAAGCTGTGATCTTAATTCCCCAACAAGTCACTGGGACAAACTAAGCTGACTTTGAAGCCTGGTAGTTGGGCTGTTGAGCATCACGGAATTTTTCTAAAACTTGCTGATTTTTGTATTCAGCTATCTTGGATCCCCTAACAATTTATTATGAGGTTATTCTATTTTGGCAGGCAGTACCATTAATCAAGATTAGTTGTTTTGTAGTATTGCCAGCGTTTGAGATGCACTCAGATTTTGTGGTTCTCAAGAACTGTTGTGTTGAGTTCCTTGTTTGCTTGCCTTTTCTTATGCTGTATGAATAATGTGCATGGGTTTGATTGAACTTGGACTGCTGTGTGGTATGTCTGGGTTCGCTATCTGCAGAACTTAGAATTAAGTCACTTGTATGACTAATGCTCAGACTTTCCTATTTTCAGACATGCGTGTAGAGAGTACAGAATTCACAAAGAACTGGATCATCCTCGAATAGTTAAGCTATACGACTACTTTTCGCTGGATACTGACTCGTAAGTTATGTTGCTGTGTCCTTTGACTTGTTTTGACCCTTTCACTACAGACAAGGTGTTTGGGCTCTGAAAACTTTCCAGGAGAGTCCAGACAATGTCCACACCAACTTTACTGACTGTACTGCAGAGATATCTGAGGTGGTTTCAATATACATTTGTTTTTCTAGAGGTGCTAGCTCACAAACCAGTATGCCTTATTATGTCAGATGTGGTGCTTTACTAGGAAATCCTACTCTTTGTTGGCCTGGGCAAATGCCATAGCTGATGCAGCTTTCTGCTTCTGGATCTAGCACTTAATGGGGGATCTCTGACTTTGTACTATTGGAGTATTGAGGACCGTGCTCCTGGTAGCTTATTTTTAGAAAGGAATTAGTGGGCTGGAGGACTCTTAATTTATTATATTGACCAAATAGGTGAGTTCTACAGACAAGCAATAACAAAGGGTTCTGGTTTCTATCAGGTGCCTTAATTAAACAAATACTGTTTTGCCTTCAGGTTTTGTACAGTGTTAGAATACTGTGAGGGAAATGATCTGGACTTCTACCTGAAACAGCACAAGTTGATGTCGGAGAAAGAGGCGCGATCCATTATCATGCAGATTGTGAATGCTTTAAAATACTTAAATGAAATCAAACCTCCCATCATACACTATGACCTTAAACCAGGTATGCTGTGCTGCTAGCTGATGTGCTTAAGGATGCTAACTAAAGGTAATGGGTTATAAGTAATACGGGCAAGTTTACGTTGGTCAGACAGCAAAAAACAACAGAGCTGTCTGGGAAAACTAACGCAACAAGAAAAAACTAAAATGCATAGAACATGCTGTGAAAAGGGTATTGTCTCCCAGAATTGCAACATAAAACAAGGAAGTAACATTCCAGAAAAAGCAGCCTCCTTGTTCGGAACAAGCCCTTAAACCACCAAGTGTCTGTGTTTGGTTTCTTCATGTCCTGCTTGTACTCTGCTGTTGAGAGCTTCTGTTATTGCTTCATTAAGGTTCCCATAATTACTAGTGTTTCGTGTTCCCATTCTTCTGGCTTATTCTTTCTGTAATCATCTGCCTGAAAACCTGGTTGCAGAAGCTAACTTGGAAGCGTTCGGTTTTTCGTATTGTGTGGCAGCTCACAAAGCTGAGGACATCCAGTCAAACTGTTTGCTCAGGGCTGCCTTTGCATTCAGTGACATCGGCCGTGTAGAAGATTCTCTCCAAACGTTGTTGCAGATTTCGCCTTATCGTTGGGCAGAGTCAGAAAGGGAAGAATGGAAGTGCTGTCTTTTGGGGTGATGCGTATTGACCACATAGCTTTTTTTCCTAGCCCAGTAAAACTCAGCCATCTCTTTGGGCAGCTGTCCCTGGCTTGTCTCCCTGTACTGGTGGCACTTCATCAGCATTGTGTAACTGGTATGTGATGTGGTTTATTGCATCAGCACCAGGAATCTGTACGGGAGGTGGTGCTGTTGCACTAGTTCTGGTGACTCTGTTTCTTCCCCAGCTGCCAACCGTTCTCGTGTTGTCTGAGCATGCTGCAGAGCTCTGCCTACAGTTGTCTAAAGCTGTGATTCATCCACTGCCATCATGCACGATTCTGCTGCTTTGTTGTAGACTTTGAGAAAGAGAGTGATGATTTGACTTCTTGATCCTTGATGAATTTGTAAAAGACTCTTGCCTAAGCAGCAATTGTCCTTTTTGAGCTTAGAAAGCCACTGGGGAGCACTGCCAGGAAGGAGAGAGTTTCTGGCTTGCTGAGAGGCCAGGGCAAGTCAGGACTTCTGGGCAGAATGAGTCATAACTGTGTATGTGTACTTCTTAATCCTCCTTTTTGACCTGCCCTTCCAACGGGACCTTTGAGAGGGGAGAAAACAGCATGGGCATTAAGCTCCTTTGGTTAATAGGGCTCAGAATATGGAGGCTTCAAGTAATGTCGGGCCACTGGTTCCTTCAAGGATGGGCAGATCGGTTTTGGCACTTGGTGGGAGCCGGGTTGTCTCTGGAGCTCAGGATATTGTGTTAAAATATCTACCCCAGGCTGCTGCAGCTCACTGTGTAGGTTCCTTGTCCTCTCGTGCAGAGTGCCACAGTTCAATGAAATTTTATTCTTGTTTTTCTTCCTGCTACATGCGTATTCTAAAGGATTATTTCCTTCCTCTGTCTAGGTAACATTCTTCTAGTCAATGGTACTGCATGTGGAGAGATAAAAATCACAGATTTTGGACTTTCCAAAATCATGGATGATGACAGCTACAACTCTGTTGATGGCATGGAACTGACATCGCAGGGGGCTGGTACTTACTGGTAAGCGTCGCCTGGGGCACTTGCAAGTTACAGATCAAGAACAGTTTCTAAACAGCTTTGGATCTTTGTCAGCTCTGTGTGTGCTGCCATTGTCTGTGACAGCTTGAGACACCGGAGGTCTGAGACCCTGGAAACTGCTCTTGTTGTCACACAGCTTCTTTTGAGGCTGGCAACTTTTTACTTTTTAGTGGGTTAGTGTTTCTACATTTGAAAAGCATCTCTTATCCAAAGGGCCTGGAGAAAAACTGTGTGTGCTGCATGCTGCTGGGATAGCAAGCTCTGGAGTGGAGCTTGGCTGCTATTTCACAGTCCATAATGGCACTCTCTAACACTTTAAGCAAGGAGGAGGACAATACCATGCTTATTTAGAAATTCAGGTACATCAGGGAGATGGAAAGAGTATTCTGCTGAAATAAGGCGGTGAAAATCCATAGTTAGAAATGTAAATCTCGGTGCTGTCTGTACCCAGAGCTTCACGGTCAAGTGTGGTGTGGAAGATGTTTTCAGCAAGACTTTATCATCAGTGCCAAGTGTTGTCACTGCATCACCCGTGGCTGAGAGCAAGACCTGCAGTGAGCATCACAGAGTGCGATTCCTAGGTACTACCTAGGCTGCAGACTGTCACTATGGGCAACAGTCGGACAGGAACATTTGTTTAGGCATTCGGTATTGTGCAGGCTTGTTCCATTGCTGAAAATGAAACTGGCTGTAGTTTGAGCAAGGCTGAGTGTCTCTGACTAGGATGTGGCATCTGCAGTTGTATTTCTAGAAATATGTATTTTGGCTGCGTGTTTCTGTTGTGGAATTGTTGGCCAAGTCTTTTTAACAACAAATACCAGTTCTGAAGATAGAAAAATATGGGATTATTTTATGTGCACCAGTGAAAAGAAACTGACTGTGCTGACTAGCTCAGACCGTGAGCATCGGGAGAGTCCTTGAGATCACTGTGTCCAGAAGGCATATGCATTGGTGATCTCGGCCCAAAGATGCACAGGAATGAAACTGGGTCCCTCAAGTCCCAAGCCAATACCTGACCACAGAAGCTTGTTCCTTCCTTTCTAAAGAAAATATTGAAAGTATTTGGAGATGCTGCTCGTAACGTGTTGTTGCTTTTTTCTTATCAGGTATTTGCCACCAGAATGTTTTGTGGTTGGGAAAGAACCTCCAAAGATTTCAAATAAAGTTGATGTCTGGTCAGTAGGAGTCATCTTCTATCAATGTCTCTATGGCAGAAAGGTAAGAAAGCATTTAACTCCTTTTTTAGTGGCAATTCCCAAACTTGTTGGGAGGTAGCCCTGGCTTCTGCTGCTTTCTCCTCCCCAGGCTTAGAAGGTCCCTCTGCTTTATCTCCTTGCCATCAGTTCCAAGGCAGAGTTCACGCTAATGAAGTGGGGAGAATTTACTAGGTTGGGTTTTGCTCTACCTGACACTTCTTTCAGAAGCAAAGTTCTGCAGAACATCTCTTTCCACTGGGCACGTTCCCACTGAGGCCATTCTGGGCAGGGCAAGTGTGTCATTCAGGGCCAGGCACCTGAGGTTCTCGGTCTGGCAGTGTTGTGTGATGCTTTCCGTGCACTAAGTCTGTGTCCAGCGTGATATTGCTTGACGGCTGCAAGTGTGTTTTAGAAAGAGAAAACAAAACAAAAAAAATCAGTAGGTACAAAGACCCACTCCAGAAGTTTTTAGGATGGCTTTTGGAAGGGAAGAGTCTGGATCAGGAAAAGATGATTTGTCCTGAGAGAAGGTAATTTGTTTTAGGACAATAGAAGAAATAGACTGGAGTAGGAAAAGGATTCCATTAACTCTTGTTTTCATGAGTCCTTGGTTAACCAAGTGTTGTGAAAGCCTGGGCTGACAAACACGCTGTGTTGCTTGGTGTTGTCAGTCTGACAAACAGCGGAACCAGCCCAGATTGAAGTGGGTGAATCTCCTGTCAGCTCGGATCAAGGCCCTCTTGCACCTGCTGAAGCTGATGTATGGCGTCTGAAAGCAGGTGGAGATCCCTCCTGTCTGAGCCGGAGACACCCCAGACACATTCCAGCTTGGTCCCTTTTGTTCAGTTTAGTGTGGGAGCAATGTGTCCTGGTCATCTGGCTGGAATCTGCAGTACCTTCACAGCATTCATGGGCTGCTTGCCCAGAAAAATGATGTCAAGTGATGATAAACAGTAGCTTTATGGGTTTTTTAAGTTCTGTCGGCAACCTTTAACAACAGTCTTCCATTTTTTTGCTAGCCCTTCGGTCACAACCAGTCACAACAAGATATTCTGCAGGAGAACACAATTCTGAAAGCTACCGAGGTGCAGTTCCCTCCAAAGCCAGTAGTCACGCCAGAAGCAAAGGTAAATATTCTTGCAGCGAGCCTGATCGCGCTGTGTATTTCAGCCAGCAATCGGCACTGGCTGCTCTGTGCTCTTGGTGTTTAGTGCCTGCCTCCTGCAGAGTGGTCAGTGGCTTTGCCTGGTAGCTGTCAGGCCGAGGATTGAACGGAGTGCAGCGTGTGCCTCTGCCCGTGCTTTCTGCTTCTAGAAGATGAGCTTCTGGTGTAGGAGCTGGGCTGTCTCCGTGGTCACCGGGGAAGGAATTTCGGCACTGGGGTTGTCAGATTGGCCCCGCTCCCAAAGTTATCTGTCAAAGGAAGCATCTGTCCACCTACTAATTCTTGTTTTGGGGTGTCTGCAGGCATTTATCAGACGTTGTCTGGCCTACCGAAAGGAGGATCGGATAGATGTCCAGCAGCTGGCCTGTGACCCATACTTGCTGCCTCACATCCGCAAATCTGTATCCACAAGCAGCCCAGCTGGAGCTGCAATTGCATCCACCTCTGGATCATCCAATAACAGCTCTTCAAACTGAGACACAGTAATAGGCCAAAAACTGCTTGAGAAACCGGCAAAAAGACTTTCAGAAACAGCTTTGGAATAGAGGAATCCGCAAGGGTCTCAAGAAACCTGTACCAGGTGCTTTTTTTCTCTTGCTTTTTTCCATCCATGGAGCATGACAACATCAACTCTCATCAAGAAAACCGTCAGCATCTAGGCCAAGCCATGTGGATAGGAGATGGCTTGAGTAAATGACCACAAAATGGTGGCTGCTCTGAGCAAGTAGGGGAAACTCAAGAAAATACAAAAAGACATGGTTCCATGTACTGTGAACTTCTGAACATGCAGCCTTGGGGAATCCAGGACGCCGTGTGTGCTTCATATGAAGAATGTGGACTTTGGAAAAAGACTGGGCTAGTCCAGTGTTGATATTTAAACATTGTTCTTTTTCTTTTAATAAAGTTTAGGTAACATCTCCTGAAAAGCTCGAAGCACCAAGGTTCAGCTGGGGATGGTATATGACTCTTTGCCCTTTGGAGGGGAAAAAAGTTGATCCTGCCTGTTCATGGCACTAGAGTTAGTGTTTTACCCCTAATTAATTTCAGTTTTTTAAAAATAACAATTTTTTGGAAGAAAACAGTTTTCTGGTCTCAAAGTGAAACCCGTATTAGCAGGTTCATGGCAGTGTCCATTCTGCGGATGGTGCCACTTTCTGCTCCCTTGGGATGGCCTCTTACGATTACTTCACCTTCTCAGGAGGGCGGTGAAGCCCAGAGGAGAGCAGGCCTGCGTAGATCTCCTGTGATCAGTGGATCACAGCTCAGACTGCCACAAGGTTTTCAGCTGCTGCTTCGTAGCTCTCAAAACGGTTGCACCCTTTTTAATTTATTTGAAGTGCTGTTCTTTTTGAAAACACACCCTGACGTGTTCGCGAGGTGCTCTCTGCTCTCAGGAGCGTGATGTCTGGTGACTGTTGAAAAGGCAGGCAGCGACTGGGAAAGAATCGGAGCACAGTTCAGTCGATCACAGGTGTGATCTGTGCTCACACAGTACTGTACATATCTTGCTCATGTTATAAAAATCCAAAGCTGAAGACTTGCCCGCTCTTCTCAGTTAGGTGACTTGGCAGCAAAGCTTCCTCTCTTCCTTAACACTTTCCTCTTCAAACTTGCTGACTTCCCTAACTTGCTGCCATTGCTGCATCTGATTTCAAATGACAGGGAATGAGATAATGTTCTTGAAGGGAACAAACACTCTAATTATTATTGTTGTCTCCCTTCTGTAATCTGCCTGAAGGGGTCTTGCACCTTCAGCTGGAGTCTGCGGGCTGTGAAACGCAAGCCTCTTGTCCCCACTGTGCCCCCTTTTCCCCCCCACACTGAAGGAAAGCTGAAAACATACACAAAAAGCACAGCACTTGAACATGTGGCAGCCAGGTTGGAGCGCTCCTAACATGTGGCAGGAGCTCAGAGCCAGAAATATTTAAAGATGCAGTGTTCATGAGCAAGGCTTGTCTCAGGAGGGAGCTGAGCGGTGGGCTACTGCAATTCAGGGAGGTGTTTGAAAAACAAATTACCCTGTGTTCACTTCCTAACCCGATACCCAGACCACTGTGGTGTGGACTGTCCTCTCTGTGGCACCTCCAGGATCGTTCCCGCAGCTCCGGCAGCGTGTGGGCTGTTTGGGGCGCTCGGCACCTGAATGGCGTTCTCAGGGCAAGTGATGTTCTCCGTCACGCACTTTTGGAGAGAACTACCACTTGTCTGCCTTATTGTAAGCCATTGTCTGCAAATACTGTGCTTAAACCTGATCAGGAACTTGTGGTTAACTGAAAAATGGAGGAGTCTGTTGAAATTAAGCAATGGATCTGGGAAGTGGAGAACTCTGCTGCTTTGGTTTTTATTACAATTTTTGTAGTGATTCTTGGGCTTTTAATTGGATGTAATCACTTGCAGCTGCATTAAGGTGGTCTCTAAACTGTAGTGTTTTAAACAAAGAAAAGAAATACTGCATCTTTAAATCCTCAGCCATAATTTCTTAGCCCTTTCCATCCCTGCTGCGCTATTCCAGAAGTTAACTGTTTAGCAAGCAGCGCTTCGACGTGTCTACTCGGCCTACGTCAGGTGAAATCAGGGTTGATGCTTCATCCCGTTTGCTGAAACTGATGATTTGGTGTCTGTCCACATCGGGGAGAATTCTAAAAGGGTTTTTTCTATCCCGGTCCCGTTGTTTCTTGGACATACAGTGTGTGCTATCTCTGTGGGTGTGATTTTTTTTGTGTCAGATGCATTTATTCCTGCTGTGCGACACCCATCCAGGGGCCTGGGGACAGCGTTGGCCTCTCCCGGGGCTGATAGCAGTGAAGAACCCTGGTAGAATTCTGGCTGCGACACCTTCCTCGTTAATATGGGTTTCACTTCAAATAACAGACCCTGTTGCCACACTGTTCATTTACTTAAAGAAAAGTGTATGAAGAATTTGTAACTTAAACCAGGCCAGACTGTTTTGGCTCTACCCAACAGATGAGACATGGATATTAAAATAAGTTTTAAGAAACTGATTTGCTTGGCTTTTACTGTTTTGCTCTTTATAGCGTTGGCAGGAGCTCTCTTGCAGTAGCTGCATGGAGGTGACACAGGACAAGATGAGGAAAGATGGAGGAAGGTTGCATTTGACAGCTTGGAACAGCGAGATCTCTGCGTCGGAGGTGGGGAATCGCTGAAAATTACTGAGTCTTGTTTAATTGCTGCCATTGATCTTGTTCAGGAACATCAAGACAGTCATCTGAGGTGGGTTTGTCCCTCATTTCCACTAGAGTAGCAGCTGCCTTAAGGAGCTATGTATGTTCAGGACACAAAAAACACCTTTTTTTGTGTCTTGTGTCTGTTGATGAAAATTGTGTTGAACTCCCGTGCCCTGGCTGGCCGTGCCGAGAGCTGGTGGCTGTGACCTGCCGGCTGCTCCCCAGCCCATGGGTGCCCGAGGCTCCAGACTCAGTCACCTGGAATAACCATGTTGAGCAGTGATGGGAAACTCAGCTCCTTTAATTTCTTACACCCGAGTCTTGTCAGCTTTAAGAACATACAATAGCAAATGAAAAAGGACCTTGGCAGCTGAAGCCGTCAAGTCTGCTCGTGTCTGGACTAATAACCGGGGAGTGCCAGCCCACCCGCCCAGCTCCTCTGCAGGCAGCCCCAGCCCAGCGCGGGGCATCCCCGGGCATCCCTAGGGTGAAGCGGGGCAGCAGCTGCCCTCCAGAGCCTGCTTCCTCCGGAGGAAGAGTTGCTGGGGATGAGGATTTTGCAGCAAACCTGACGTCACCCTTGCCGCACTTTAACTTCAAGTCAGCTTTCAACTGAGCGCGAGTGAAACCGAACACCGAAAGCAGCTCGGCTCCCTCCCCGCTGCTGCAGTTGATTATTTTTCGGCCCCCTGTGCCAGCTTTGATGATGGGACGCAGATCTGGGCAGGGGGAGGCGGCGGCAGCGTTCCAGCAGCGAAGGCGCAAGGACCCTGCGGTGACGGCGGCAGTCCGGCCTCCGGGCCAGGTACCCACCACGCGTGCGTGGCGTGCCCGGGAGCAGGGACGTACGTGGAATTACACGCTCAGCTTCACGCCAGCGGGAGTGAGACTTGCTGAGGGGCTGCCTGGCTGGATGCTTCACCTCCTACGTTAGCGGTTAGGAGTCACACTATGAAATGAGCTTCCTCCTGCCAAATGGGCCAGTCCCAGATTATTTTGTGAGCTGGCAAGCCCTCGACACGAGGTTTGCTACTGCTGCCAGCGTCTCCCTGGGATTTGCTGCTGGAGGATGTTATTTTCTGGGTGCTACATGAGCCTGGCTCAAGCAGCCTAGACTTAAACCTTCCTACACCCAGCGTGGAGGGGAGAGGAGACTTGCAACGCGTGGAAGCGAGACCCAGCACAGCCCTGGCCCTCACCCAGCCCGGAGGTGCGTTTCCTACCAGATGCCAGTGAATCTTTGCACTGAGACTCTGAATTTCTGCTGCCACACATGGCTGTGCCCACGGTCTCCGCTTTGCCTGTGGCCATCGCTCTGGGTGGGGGCGAGAGGCCAAGCAAACGTGGAGCTGCTCGGCCTCCCCTCGCCACGTTCACACCCCGTGCCGCACTTTAACTTCAAGTCAGCTTTCAACTGAGCGCGAGTGAAACCGAACACCGAAAGCAGCTCGGCTCCCTCCCCGCTGCTGCAGTTGATTATTTTTCGGCCCCCTGTGCCAGCTTTGATGATGGGACGCAGATCTGGGCAGGGGGAGGCGGCGGCAGCGTTCCAGCAGCGAAGGCGCAAGGACCCTGCGGTGACGGCGGCAGTCCGGCCTCCGGGCCAGGTACCCACCACGCGTGCGTGGCGTGCCCGGGAGCAGGGACGTACGTGGAATTACACGCTCAGCTTCACGCCAGCGGGAGTGAGACTTGCTGAGGGGCTGCCTGGCTGGATGCTTCACCTCCTACGTTAGCGGTTAGGAGTCACACTATGAAATGAGCTTCCTCCTGCCAAATGGGCCAGTCCCAGATTATTTTGTGAGCTGGCAAGCCCTCGACACGAGGTTTGCTACTGCTGCCAGCGTCTCCCTGGGATTTGCTGCTGGAGGATGTTATTTTCTGGGTGCTACATGAGCCTGGCTCAAGCAGCCTAGACTTAAACCTTCCTACACCCAGCGTGGAGGGGAGAGGAGACTTGCAACGCGTGGAAGCGAGACCCAGCACAGCCCTGGCCCTCACCCAGCCCGGAGGTGCGTTTCCTACCAGATGCCAGTGAATCTTTGCACTGAGACTCTGAATTTCTGCTGCCACACATGGCTGTGCCCACGGTCTCCGCTTTGCCTGTGGCCATCGCTCTGGGTGGGGGCGAGAGGCCAAGCAAACGTGGAGCTGCTCGGCCTCCCCTCGCCACGTTCACACCCGGGAACGGGCGTCTTGGCCACAAGGACGCTATTGTCTGAGCCGGGGCCGGGGCTGAGACACGCTCTCATTTCATGCATTAACTCCGTGGGGGTGCGAAGGATGGGAAAAGCCGCTGGCGCGTGCCGCCTGGTGAGGATCCGCACGCTGCTGCCAGCGCTGTGCGCTCCTCTCTGCTCCTCTGCGCTCCCAGCCCTGCGTCTTGCCACGGGATGGGTTGCTGCAGCTCTTCTTCCTCCCTCCATCCTTCCGCAGCAGGTCAGTGTTTCTGTTGCTCCTCATGTCCAGCTGGCCGGCTGCTGGATCGGCACAGGGGAGGCTCGGCACTTTGAGCCGATCCAGTAAAGCCTAAACCTAGAGGTTAGCCACCATCTGCCCCACCAGTGTGGGGTGAGCCTGCAGGCAGCCCTGGCTCACAGCTGCTTGCTCACCCGCTGTTACTTGGGCTGCAGGGCTGGGGCAGAGGGGGGCAATGGTCCAGCTGGAGCTAAAAAGCCACAGATGGAGCTAAAATGGCAGGGATGCTGCGGGGAGCAGCAGGGCGAAGCTGGGGAGACTCAGCCTCGCACGCAGGCCAGATCTCCCATCCCTGCTCAAGCAGCCACGGGGAAGGCGGGAGGAGGGTTTATACGGTGCTTGGCTCTGGTTTGCATTCATGGGGAAAAAAACCCAGCTCTGCTCAGCCCTGTGCTGCTCTGTTGACCGAAGCCGCCGGCTGCGCTGGAGCCACGAGCGCGCGTTGGCTGGGGTCCGTGGGACACAGGCTGCCGTGTCGGCAATCTCCTCACTCTTGGCCTGGCTCAGCTCTGCTTCAAGATCAGGGCTCGAAACCTGCTTTGTTCAGCATTGGCTCATCCCAGCTCCTGCTAATCCTGAAAATCCACTCGCTCTCACCCAAACCCAGGAGACCGGCTGGCATTGATCCCAGAACCCCTCCAGGCTAAGGGGACCGGCGAGGGATGGCGGCAGAAGGGGATGTGCCCGTGGCTACGAGGTAAGGCAGTGGCAGAGGTAGAAATGAAGCATCTTGGGCCGACTGCGTGGCCGCTGGACCACGCTCCTGCGGCTGGGAAAGGGGGCGGGGACGGGTGGCTCCCGGTCCCATCCCCGCTTCCGGCGGGAGGAAGATGCCGTTCGGGATGTGCTGTCCTCCGCCACTCTCCAGCTGCCTTCTCTCCCCGCTCTGCAACCCAGCTCTGTTCATTTGCTCTGGAGTCATGCGGGGAAAGTGTTTTTCTAAAAGGCAAATTTCTTGCAAATGGCTGGAATTCCTCTCTGCCCCTTTCCAGGAGCTCTGGGGAGGAAGGAGAGGCAGCGGGCTCGGAGGGCAGCGCTGCTCCCCGGGCAGCCCCCGGCCTCGTCTCGCCCCCGCGGCGGAAGGGCAGGGAGCTCGGGGCTGGCCCTCCCAGGGGCGGAGGGCCCT